CTTTTTTGTAACTAAAATTCTAGAATTTGATTCGTCGAATGGTTCTAGATTTAATTTGATTTTATTAATTTTTATGGGTTTTTCTGTAGTATTTAAAATTGTGGTGATGGCTTTGCCATTCTTTACTGATACTAATGATCTTGCTAAATATATTCCATTTGTAATTTTAATTTCAGGATAAATTCCTGTGGTCATATTTTTATTAATTACTTCGATTTGAAGGAAAGTTGCAGCTGTAAAAACTAAATCTTTATCTATGGATATTAAAATTTGAAGATGAAAATCCGGTTTGCTGAAATGTTCTTTGTTACACATATGTACCGATGCTCTTATTTATATGAGCATCTAATTTATTTAAAGATAAATAGGTAGCATCTTTTAAGAAAGGTTATCGTTAACTGATGATCATGTTGTCATCATCAATGGTAATTGTAATTGAACTGCTATAAAGGTGTTCAGCCGATTATTGATACCTTGCTTTAGAACGATAACAAATGTCCGCCAAAAACCATTATCAAATAACGATTTTATTTATTATAACTTATATTTTCCAATGTGTATTGTATGTAACTAGTGTACAAAATATCAATACATATTTATCCAACTGCCTTGCCAGTATATTTTTTATCCCATAACTCTAAAAAGTCTAAAATAAAATTGAATATGGCGCCAAATTGAAAGCTAGGTGTCTCAGACCGCAAGAGCGCTTCCAGCGGTGCTAGAGGAGTGGGAGGTCTAATAGTATGTAGTCTGTGTAGAAGACGCCTTTGTGGACGCCTTGTCACTCGTAACCTTGAAATTGGAAATAACGCCATAAACTCTCCCAGCCCTCCAAGCGATATTCTGTGTATTAAATCACTTGACTTAACTGAAAACTGTCCTGTACTCGTCATATTGATGTCTGTTTGGCGTGTGCGAAGGAAGGTGGCGTAACCCTCAGACCAAAAACTTGGTTCCACGCAAGTCAATATGAGTGAGCCCCCCCATGATCTATACTTGTCTTCATCTCTTCATCTATGGATTTTGTGATTGTTTCATAGTTTGTTGTTCCTACTATAAGTTGTGCTAAAAAATATAGATAACCTGAGGAAAAGATACCACTGACTTATTTATCTATTGCTTCAGACCATGCCTTGACTTTATTATAAAAAGTGTGCAGTCAAAATATAAAAACCGTGCTTGTGCCTCAGTGTTATGATCCGCCTTCAAGACGGTAATTACGGTATAATTATGGCTTAAAACCCCGCAAAAATGTAAAGGTATGTTGTTGTTTAAATTAAATATATTTGATTATTTTATTTTTTGTTCTATACATACAGGTGATACTGCTATTTCGGACTTGAAGCATTGAAGATGCTAGGGATCACGTGAGAAAACCACACACGAAAAATGTTCGCGTACGATAAGATACGGCAAAAATGTAAAGGTATGTTGGTGTATAAATTAAATACATTTGATTATTTTATTATTTCGTGTTCTATACTACAGGTAATGTTGTGGACTTGAAGCATTGAAGATGCAAGGGATCACCAGATCTCCAGATCCAGTGAGAAAACCACACACGAAAAATTTTCGCATAAGAGGCAAGTAAGGTTGTCTGAACATAATTATTCTTCTATTAATGTAAAACTATTATCTGTGTTTTTAAATTTTTACCAGTTTGAATTTGGTTGATTTCTATTTTGAGAGAAGCATGTTTTCCTGGATTGAAGGAAAGCAACAAAAGTAAAATTAAAGTAATGTATCAATGCAAATTGCTATACCTAACTGTATTTCTACACAATAGAATGGTCTATTAATGTAAAACGATTAACTGTATTTTGTTGTAACCAATATTAAAATTTGTAATTGCTTGTAAAATTTTTGTTAAGAGCATATTGCGAAACACTTTAATTGGGATTAAAAATTGTTAATGGTGGATCGAGAACAAAATGAAAGGGCAAAAGCCACAGAGCGGGAACATGTAAGGAATATAAAATAATTAGTGCAGTTTTTTAGATAAAGGTTTGTGTTTTATCTCACAGTCACACATCATTGCGACAACGGCAAAAATGCTGTATATAGTTATATTTTAATTTATTTATCTTTCGTTACGTATATGTATGTATATTCCCTGAACATACCATATACATTCACTGAACATACACATGTACTAAAAACCACCCTGTATATAGGTACTCTATTATACATATATTACAATTATAAAAG